TCTTTGCCTAATCCATCACACCTCTTCCAATATTCACTTCTGAAGCCTACCACTAATTAAAAAAAAGAGCACTCATACATCAGAAGATCTATTTCCATCACTCAGATGCAATAACACCACGGATTTCATCTTCGTTTTGTGCCCCCAAAGCCTGTGAAGAGAAAAAGAAGGGTCAGCTCCACCACAGCCTTTCCAGTTCTGAAAAGGCTAAAGGTGGCAAGTGAGGTAAGTTAAACACTCACATAGACTAGAAGAGCAAGGAACTGTGGGCCTGAAAAATAGTCTGTTCTTGCAGATTAAGACAACCTGGTTTCTACAAAGAAATCACATGTCTGCTAGAGAAGAGCACGTGTAGTGCACACCAAAGGGGAAAACCTTGAACTAATGCACCTTGCAGATGAAAACTAAAACAATACTGGTGGTACCATGCCCACTGTAGGTCTGTGCAGAGCTCCATTCCCCCAGTGCCACCCTATTTCCATAGGAAACAAACAAGGGACATTGTTACACGTCCACCTGTACCCACTGGTAAAACAAAGCAAAAAACGCCTGCTGTACCTCAACGAACATCTGTCTGTTTTTGACAGATCAAAGTCCCTGGAGCTTCAGGAGTTTAAAGGGTCTTTTTGCCTTACCAGAAGCAGCTCTTGTTCCTGACCTGCTGCCTTGTGTGGAATTGTCTGACCACCCATTCATGGGAGGTGCAGCGGCGGGACCGGTCCACATGCTGCCGTAGCGGGGGTGTGGCTGTGCTCTGAGGGGAAGGGGCAGAGGGAAGGATTTGTTAGTGACATTAAGAAGACTTAATTTTTAATTAATGAATGACTTCTTAATTAAATTAATTAAATTCTTAATAATTAATTAAAAATTAAGAAGTTACCACTCCAAACAAGGCGACTGCATCAGAGAGAAACCTGTAAGCAGGCTTCGAGTCGTTTCAAAGCTGGAAATATCCCTATTTAATGTACTTAACATGTTGAGATGAAGGATACCCAGAGTTGTCACAGTAACACCTGTAGACTTTCAAAAGGAAATGAAACCTCTTTCTTCAGGATAAGCAATTCTAAGGACTGCAATTGAGGTAATTTCCCCCTCAGATTCTGGCCTTAGATTGTCAGACAAGAAAGACTCGAGAGCTGAAATTTAAATGCATTTTGGCAACACTTATGTCCCAGCCATATAAGACAGAAGAAAACATCCCACTGCTCTGTTAACTGTTTTGAAAAGGTTGCACAGTAAGGCTAACACATGGTGACTGGCTGATTTAAATTACTTGCTCTGTGGATGTTGAAGTTTATGAACAGTCACCTCACGCTTTCTGGCACCAGCATTTTCAGGCACAGCATCTCAAAACAACTGGGGAAAAAAACCCACAGTGGACCAAAGACTGTTTTAAGGAAAGGAAGCCCAGGTTAGGGAGCTCATTCATGTATTTGGACTTAAATACTCAGGCCTCAGTACTCTAACCTTGAACAGTAAGAGGTGGCTACTAAAACAGGGCATGTGTGTTGACATCAAGGAACCCATCTGCATGTAGACAATACATAAACACAAAGGTCATGCATTTAAGACAAAAAAAAGAGTCAAAACCTTTAACACTACACCTTTTAAGAACTCTTAATATAATAAACAAGATCATAGAAACATTTTGGTTGAAGATCTTTCAGATGATTGAATCCAAGATATGACCTTTCAACCTCTAAAGCTCTACTTGAAGTGAATTTACAGACAATTTCTACTGTTGGTGGCATCAATGTCCCAGATACATCCTACCTGACTCTATGAGATCAAGACTGCACACTGGACACTTCAGAAATTCTCTTACATCCCAAGTTTTTACTTTCTTAATAAACAGGCAGTCCTGATAAGGCTTCTGTCATTACATAAAAACCCCACAGCAGAGGGAGATGTTGTAACATACTGCTGTCCACATGAGCTTACTCCCAAACTTTCCATAAAAAACCCAAATGGTTTTACATAATCTGTTCTGTTATTGCATTTTTACAGGATTAGATTTGATACACATGCACTTGTTTGTTAAACAGAGGAAACTCCTTGGGCAGGATCCACCTTATGTTCTCTAGCCAAGTCTAAAATGGCAGCAACTGCTCCCTTTAAACAGTTTATCTAGCTCCTTTGGAAAAAAACACACCTCTTGGGTTTCCATGCATGGGCCATTAGGAGCCTGTACACTAAAGGCTGTTTAATCTGACCCCACTGAGTATCACAGAAGAGCAGGTGCCACCCATTTTTTAGGAGACTTTAGGAGAGATGACACCAATACAGAAGATTATCTACAGACAGTTTTAGGCTTACTATTACTATCTGCATTTCAAGGCAGTCTGCAGATGGGTGGTTTAAATGCTCATTTTACATCTGTAGGCCTTTATGCCAGGTCAAAGTATTGAGCTAAAGCAGAATGAAGTACCTCAGTCCTCCCAATTCTTCTTCCCCATAAACACATTTAAAAAATCTCTGCTGTTGGAGCTACAAATCACTTCTCAAAATTATTCTAGAGGTATCATTTTATAGCTTGAACAATACAGGCTGCAAAGCTTAGAAAGCATCTAAATGCAGTACATGGCCTACCCCTTGAAAGCTTAAACACTTAAAAGCTGATGTCACATGTATTTTACCTGTGACTGCCAGCCAAGTAGCCTAGCAAGCCTCCTGCTCCAAGTCCAGTCCAAAATCCTGGTCCTGAATGGGTTCCATGAGTTGAATGAGTCCCAAAGCTGTTGTCTTCTTAAACAAAAAAAATTGAAAACATATCAATTAGTGGCACCTAATCCTCAAGCCAGCTATTGCAACAAAACTCTCCCCTGTTAATGGAATAACAGGCACAATAAACCTCTCCTGATTTCAGTAGATTCTTGAACAAGCTTAACTTCAGGTCTCACAGTTCAGAAAGCAGGCAAAACCTGAAATGAACACTATTTAAAGAGTTTTACATTAGAAATTAGTTTCTACTCAATCCTGCAGCCCTGGTGTTGGCAAAACATGGCAAAGAGTCCCACAGCTTGCAGATTTAAAACCAGACAAATTAGAAAAGGAAATTAAGAAAGAATAATCTATTTTTAAACTGCTCAAGGTCACAGAGCAGGCCAGCAGCAGACACAGGAACAGAAATCAAGTAAATAAGACCAATGAGTGAACTAACCACTAAAAGACAGCTTCTAATGGTGCTCTGAACAGCTGCACATTTGGAGCAACAGTGGCTCAGTCTAACAGCCAACATCACTTTCTATTGTTTCTGGTAATCCTAGTCTGGTATTTGTTATCAAAAGACAGGCTAACTGCAATCACATTGCAAAGTTTTTATTATGTGTGAGTCACCAAGCTTGACAAATACCTTGATGAAATTGCAACCCTATCAAGGGGGCTATGGGGGAGGAGAGTCACAGCCTTTCTGCATGTGACCTGCAGAACATGAGGTTCTGACTCAGAACCAGATGTCTTTTGTTTAGAAATAGAAAGAGAAAATGTAAAAGCAAATTAGAATCATTTTTCTGGGCTAGAGAAACACTCAGATGCAAGAATAAGTTCAACCACCATTTAACTTGTAAGGAAATGTTACCCTCAGTCCTTGCCTTTTATATTAGGTCTCCCTGAAATACATCCACCTAAATGATTTTGTATGTAAAAGTTTTCATTTGTAAAAGTCATGCAAAGCCTGGTTTATCTTCAGACTGGTGGGGATTGTGTAAGTCTGAAGATTAAAACAAAAATTTTAAACATTCACTTATAAGCCTACGTTGGATTTGATGTTGAATTTCATTTTTGAATGCATTGGGAAAAAGATAAACTCTTATTAGGATGATATACCCATTAAACTATGCTGATTTAGAACAAAAAAAAAAGCACTTTATTTACTGTAAAAATAGTGTTAATCAGGGAGATGAGCCAACTCATTTGTTCAAAAGCACAACGACTGAATGTTGACTCAGAAAACTGACTCATTTTTTGTTGAAATACCTAAAGTAAATATTAAGGATCATGTCAAATCACTAACAGAGAAAAAAGTAGAATTCAATTAAGATAGGCTAGCTAAACAAGTTTCACAGGACACATTCTTCATGCTGAGGGGATTGAAAATGAGGCAAATTAAATATTAACAGCAATAAGTGACCAACATTGCTTTTCATGACCATCCAGATTTTCAAAGGCTAACACATTCCTTGAACACATGGACATACACACCCCAGAGATGCATTTTTCCTCCACAGCCAAAATTTAAGGAAGACACTAAATGCACAAATTAGCATAACAATATTTTTAAGCTTGCTCCACATTCAAGAGATTTTCCTCCTCACTCTGATGTCTAAGAAGAAATTGATGCCTATTATTAGTATATATACACTGTAAATGAAGCTTTATATGTATCTCAATGTGCATTTCAAGTGTCTCAATTATCAGTAATCACTGAGAAAACTTATTTAAGGCCCTACCCTTGCTAGGTGACCATTTCAGACTCCTGCACTGAAAAAATGCACTGGTGCAATGGACAAGGACCAGGACAGGAAAATAAAAAAAGAGAGTAACCACTGTTTTGCCTGTGCCCAGTGTGCCAGAGCCCTGTCCTATGACCCTCAGGAACTGCCAGAGTAACACCAGTGGCACGCCCACACGAGGTCACAGATGCACCTTGCAGCAGGGACAGACTATCTCAAGTCTGAAATAACTATAGCAAAGCCAATTTGCAAAGATGCTACTAGCAGAGAAGCAGAATCCCTTTAATTTCCTTCTGCAGGTAAATCAGAAAGGTCCTGCTGCAGGTGCCCTGCACAAGGGTATTCAAAAGAGTGAGGCTGGCACCCTCTGTTGGCCAAGTGGCTTGAGCAAACCTGGAAGAAAGCATTAACAAGCATTACTAAAATTAAGCTTTTGACTAAGTGAACTTAATCTGTACTATTTATTTAGTTGATAGAACCCCTTCTTCATCTCAGAAAAAACAAACAAAAAGGTGACTATGCAACCTGGGAGAATATAATTTGAGTTCCAGAGTTCCCACATCCACGGGATTAAATGAGTTAAGCTCATTTAACTCATCACACCAGATGAGTAACATTCACTTGCCTTGAACATTATGACTGAGGCATACCACTTATTAAGTGACAAAAGTCACGAGCCAATGCAGCACCCAACTGCCACTGCAGCCTTTTCAAGTCTATCCCACTTGCACTCACTGGAGATGCACCAGTACAACCCCGTTGGCTTTTCCAAGTGCTGTCAATGGCTTAGAGCCTTACCTGTGAAGCTGGACTTAAAACCAGGAGGAGGAGGTGCCTGCTGACTCTGCCAGGAGGGCCTGGTGAACCCATTGCCATCACCAAAGCTCTGCTGAGGCTGCTGGTTCCCAAGGAAGAGCTTGTACACTCCAAAAGCCAGAAGCAGAAGAACAAGTACAACCACCGCTCCAGCGCCGCAGTCCGAAGAACCCTTCCCCGGCTGAGGGTAGCTAAAGCCAAAGCCTCCGTAGCTCTTGGCTTTCCTTTCACCTTCCTCAGTCAGCTCCAGCCTGAACAGCAAACTGCAGGAGCCCCTCAGGATGTAAGGATCATCTGGGTAATCGTAGCCCTCACAGCTCACTTCCATTTGCCCAAAACGTAAGGTGCTCTCCAGGTCTGCGTTGCACTGCCACTGAAAAAAAACACACAACACCAAGTAAGGCCTCCTGCTCCAGAGATGAAAATACCTGCCAGCTCCCCCAAACAGGCCCTGAAATAAAGCTGCAATTCCAGCTAACAAAACGTCTGAAAGGCCACAAGGTAGAGAAAAATCTGAGTGTTCTCATTTTGAAAAGGACGAGGAATTTAAACTTAACTAAAAGTGTTTTTTAAATCCTAAAAATGAAAAAAATCTGATCTTTCAGAACACAGAAGAGTTCCAATAGTGGAAGATTTTTTTTTTTCTTCACTGGACAGGTTTTTCAAGTATCCCTTCTTTAGGTACTTCTAAAAAACACCTGCACCCTGTGCAACAGCTACTTAATAAATGCTTGTCCCACGTTAAGCTGGACGGCAGCGACAAAAAAACATAACACAGAAGCCTGAAATTGCTACTTGTGCCCACCCAGAAAGCAAAAGGAATTGGGACAGACATCACTTAGACTGTGACTCCACAGTTGAATATGCAAATTCCTCAGTCACACATTTCCTTCAAGTATCCAAACTTAAGTATTAGCTCTAAGTGTGAGCAACAGGTTTGGTTTTCTTTTGAGTGATAAAAAAAGAAGTTTCTAAATTATTAATTCAGGAAGGCAGTATCAATTCCTAATTCAAATTTGACAGTACTTCTAAGGTTTTAACAACTACCTTCAGCCTCAATTCCTCGTTAATCTGCTGGCAGCAGCTCAGGTAACAGTCAGCAAAGCAGAAACACAGGACTATTTACTGGCTAGCACTGGTGAACTGACATGTGAAAGGTTGCCATGTAAGACTGAAATTTAGTTTTTAAAAGGTAAAGCTGAAGTGCTGCAAATAGCTACAGCCCGTTCCACTCTCATAAACTGGAAATCCACACAGCAATAGCAAAATAAGAGCATGCCCTAGGGTCCACAAGAGTTTGATTTTAATTAAAGTCAATGAATGTTTGCTACGCAGTGTTTTTACATCAGAGCCTTCAGGGGTACTTCCAAGATACACCCACAGTAGCTCTGGAAAATTCAACCCCCAAAAGTATTTCAGCTAAGTTTTAGTTGTCCAAGGTATTCTAATAATGGTTTTGGCTTGAATGAAGTTAATTTTTGTCCTAGTAATTGCTGTAGAGCTGTGTTTTGCACTCAGGGTAATGTCCTGTTTTGAGTTAGAACAGAACTAATTGCTGTTCAGTGATTTTACTTTTCAGACGAGTCTCTTCTAACTAATTCCACTTTCTTAAGTTAATGGCATGTCTGTTCAGGCAGCATCTGCTTCTACCACACAGGACCAATATCCAGAAAGGCTCCTGCTTGTGCTTGCCCCTGTGCAGACCAAGGTCACTGCTAAATCCTGTGTGCTCTACTGGGGGGTGCAGAAAGGCAGAGGCTGACAGGTGACCCTAAACTGACCAGCAAGTTATTGCATCCCCTATGTGTCATATGATAATCCTGCCTAACACACGGATGTTTTATTTGTTGCTAAGCAGCACTGACATGAAGTCAATGACTTCTCAGCTTCTCCTGCCAGAGAAGGCTGGGAGAGGACACAGCACAGATAATTGACCCAAACAAGCCAAATTTGCATTCCACACCATACAATGCTATACCTGGTGTGTAAGCTGAAAAGAGGTTAGCTAAGGGATGACACACCCACACACAGGGATGACACACCAGCTGGGCAGGGGTCAGCAGGTGCTAAGCAACTGTATGGAGCATTGCTTGGTTTTATATTGCCTTATTATTTTCCCAACCTGATAAGCTGTTGTAATCTCAACTCAGAAGTTTTACTTTTCCCCCCCCCACCTTGATTCTTTCCCATATCCCACCACGGGAAGTAAGCAAGCAGCTGCGTGGTGCTTAATTGCTGGCTGGGGTTAAACCACGCCAAAAAAAAAAGCAAACTGAACTGACACCGTTGCTCTTTTCTCCTTCAGAAGGTAACAAGTCTGGAGGAGAACGATTTCGTTAACCGTTCAACAAGCTTTAAACCGTTACCTGCACGTCGTAGCCATCCCAGCCTTTGTTGTAACACTGCACGACCTCAGGGACGCGGGCACATCCCGCGGCGCCTCCTGTGCACTGCAGCTGAGGGACCGCAGCCGTCCGCCGAGACGCCGTGTACTGGCCCTTGTGGAGAGTGAGCGCCTGCACGTCCCGCAGCAGGACCCTGCCTGGAACGGGCAGCACGGGGGTCAGCGAGGGCCCGGGCGCCTTCCCCCGCC